GAGTACGAAACCCAAAAATATTGGTCCTCTGGGCCCAACTTGGGAAGGAACCTACCGTATAAGTGTTGCATCCTGACACCTACATTTTGGAAAGCCTCACCGGCAAGCGAATTCAACACCCATAGAATGTAGAACAGCTAAGGCTGCACTACCAATAGTGTATGTAATTCTTACGCATCTTAATTATATTTTTGGTAATTTAAATAAATTGATGTGTTTTTAGAAATATTGTTAAAAAATGAGAAAGGAATTTACCCCTTAAATAACATGTTTGCTTAAAAAACTAAGGTATATTAAACAGACATGAGGGACAGTAAGGGGTCTACGGATCACTAGAGAACGACGACCCCAAGGGGTAAAAGTTAACGTCGTCTCCTCCAAGGAGGAGAGGCGAACATTTAGCAAATTTTACGAAATTTACTAAGACGACGACCCAAGGGGTAAAGTTAACGTGGTCTCCTCTAAGGAGAAGAGGCGAACACTTAGCAAATTCTAAGGAATTTACTAAGACGACGACGCTAAGGGGTAAAAATAAATTACTCATCTAAGGAGAGCGACGAACAATTATGAAATCTACTATCTTCAAAAACAAATAAAATGAAAGGAAATCCAATATTATATAAAATGTATATAATAACATATAGCAGTCTCTACAAAAAAGAAAAAGAGAAGCCCTAACCCTCGCCACTAGCCACCGAGTCATCACCATCGCCAGGGGGGAAGAATTGTCATCGTCAGCAGGAGGAGGAGGAATATAAAGGAAGCTCAAATCCCACTTGGGATGCTCTTGTTTAATGAGATCGACAATTTGCTGTCCAGCGGACTGAAAGTCTTTGGTGCGAATGTCGATGAGCTCCGGGGAAGCCTTAAACTCCTCAATAATCTCTGCACGCTTGGCGTCGAACATTGCTGAGGCCTCAGCTTCGGCTTCCTTCTTCCCTTCAGCCTTTCCCTCAGCAAAGCACTTCTTCACGGCCTCAGTAGCTTCGGCCGATTTCTTCTCAGAGATCTTCGCCCGTTTTGTAAGCTCTTCGACTGCAGTCTTCAAGCTGGCCAACTCATTTTGAAGGCTCGACAGCTTGGCCAGTTCACCTTCCAAACTCGCCAACTTGGCCACGGCCACGTCCCTCTCCTCGACGGCAGACGAGCACTTTTCTTTGGCATCGTCAAGAAGAGATGTAAGCTTGGCTTCCAGACTGTCCATCTCCTTACCATGTTCCTCAACCTTGACTAGATCAATAAGGTTGAGAATGATAAGAACTAGGCCCTAAAAAATTGGAAGTTAGAAAATAATGATGTGAAGGACAAATCTAAAAATGAAAAAAGCACGGTCGATTACATGAATCTAGAAGGAAATCTGCTTGCGCTGACGATCCACTAGAGAAGAATGAGTTGCGGAGATCCAGTGTGGCTCAAGAAATGATTCGTACAAGGCCTGGAAGACGAGGGAGAAACGGGGAGGAAGCTTCAGCATGGCCCCAATCTCGGCGTCAGAAATATCTGGAACTTGGAAGTTGGAATCCATGATTTTTGCCCCCGAAATAAGCACGCGTTCCCTAGGCGCCGAAGGAATACCAGCAACGTCGGGGATTGGAACTGCCGGCGTCCAAGTCTCGGTCACTGGCACCTTCTCTTTGCGCCCTCTTTTGGGCGCATGAGCTTCCGCCCCTGACCCCAAAAAAACCTCCGTGGTTTTCCTTCTCTTCGGCGCCGGGGAAGAGGTGCTGGCTTTCTCTTTTCCTTTGAATTGAGGTTGCAGGCCGGGCTGAGGCTGCCGGTTGCCTGGGAGCTGAATCCTTAAAGAAGCCATTTCTGTGCAAATGACAAGTCAGAATGCAGTCAACATGTAGTTATGCAAAATAAGATTAAGAGAAGCGTCGAGCCCAGGAGTTTACCTTCGTCGCTTAGATGAAAGTATTCACGGGTGGCGGGAAGATCAGAGGGGTCTGGAAGGTCAAGAATCAACCCTGCTTCTCTAAGTTTGGACTTGGTCAAGAGGGTGTCAATATGGTGAGCCTTCTCCGAGTACAAAAAAGTCTTTTCAACCCTCGCCAATCTATTCCCAGCGAGCTTCGGCCGATCGTGGCTAATTGCATAATAAAAGAACTGTCAGCGCTGTAAAAAAATAAAAATAAATAAAAAAAAAGAGAGAGAGGGAAAGGGAAAGAAACGAAGTGTCGAATTCTCACCCATATTTCCAAACGACATTTGCACCTTCCTTCGGCGGGGCATGCGGTCGTCGGGGTGAAAATTAAAAGGCCCTCGTATCATAAAAAATATGGGTTTCCACCCATGTGATGACGAGGGAATACCTCGTATTCACGTACCAAGCCTAGGCTTGGATCGCCCATGCCCACTCAAAAAATACCACCCCGCACATTTGGCGACGTGGCATAACCTATACATAAACATAAACTCATCCAGCGGTAGGTCCATATCAAACCGCTGGCTCCAAAAAACCCAGTCGCCGGCAAAACAATACCAAAAATTCAGTGCCAATTTGGCATGAGAGATACCATAAAAATGGCAGTAGTCCTTAACGAAGGGATGAACGGGTAAGGTCATCCCAGCAGTAACAGCCCGAGTATATACAGGGAGATACCCGGTAGGAGGCATACTGGTCCTAAAATGTACATCCGGGAGGAGGTACTCAAACCATCTCCTGTCGATCCAACCTTCTTTGACAACCCGAATGATGTCTTTATTTCGGACCCTCGACGCCACGACATCGGCCGTAAAAAATGGCATGTCCGGGTCTTCGCTCGTGGCAGCCAAGGGGGCCTTCACCAGTGAAGCGGCGACCCCACATACGTTGCCTCCCGTGAAAGGAATCTTATTAACTTCTTCTTCCATCATACGGTCAACGTTATCAAACTCGTTGCTAAAACCCTCGCTTGGTTCGGCCATGTATTCTTCTATTTCACTTAATATTGAGTCGCCGTCTGATGAGGAAGATGACCACAAAATCTCCACCATGGAAAGGGAGTCTGGCCATACAATGGACGGGTCCTCTCGACAGGTGGGGTTTGAGGCCATTGTTCTGGTGGTAAAAAAGACAAGGAGCTAAGTCAAAATCCTAAGTTGAGAGGAAGGAGTAAACGACGACCATTCTAAAACAACGATTGCTCAATTACCACTGGCGCCTCTCAACATAACGTCAATCATTCATATAAAAATGGTAACGGCGAATGTTCATAAACAACTGAGGTTCATCAGAACCCAGGAGTCAGATACCACAATCAGCCAGAAATCAGAAAAACTATCCTACGTGGGTCAAACAAAGCGTATGGTACAATCTCTATCCTTTACATTTCACATATTAACATGTGTATGGTTCAATAGGAAAGCCAGTAAAGTCATTAAACAATACAAACGAGCAATCGTTAAGCTTACCAGTGCGTCAGAATCTGGGCAAAGTTGAGTTCCGAGATAGCTTTACGAGGCATCGAGAAGAGCAAGGGATGCAAGTTGGAATCTACAAGGAAGAATTCAGGCAGAGTAACGGCAGTTCAAGAAGTTTGGGAAAAAATGGCTTCGGTTCGAGGAGTATTTAAAGGAAAATAAGCCCTCGACCTCTGATCGTCAGATAAAGTTCATAAAATCCAACGGCATAGGCATTTTGCCCAGATATGACGGCAGCAAACAAAGGCGGGAAGATGAATGGGCACGATCCAAGGGCTTGTATTCGCCTTTTCAAAATAAAGCCTTACGTCAGCCTGGTGAAATGACCGACGCGACGGTTACATTCCTTGAGGAAAGCCAAAGCGTCAAGACCATCATTGCGGAGAAAGGCTCAGAATTAGGTTCCCATACCCGAGGCATTAGCTCGAGGCTGTCTAAAGGAAACCCTCAGCCTGGGGGCAGCTGTTGTATGGGAAAATATGGGTGACATGTAAAAAGGTGACAGCGTGACACGTGGCCCTACTTTCTCTCAAAAGGTGACAACCCTCGACGCTTGAAGCTCGCTTCTCCTCTACGCTGCAAAGAAAGGCCTGACTTAGGGCATCGACCCGGCATACCGCCGACCAGTCATGACGTCGATCTTATGGCAACAAAATTCTTATGTCTGGAAAGGGTCGACTGCCAGGAAGGACATGAGGTCTACACAACGCAGACGACGAGGGGAATACTCTTCAGAAAGGAGCCTGACATCACAAGTTGTGTCTAGGGATGGGAGACGTCTGCAGCACAGGCATTAATTGTAATCCCCTAAACCGCCCTACAGTGGGCAGTGAAGGATTATAGGAATCCACAGAGTCGTAATGGAAGACCAATTGGCTGAGTGAACAGTTCAAAAGGTGATTAGTGGGCTACGGTCTGGGCCTAAAAAGGTAGGCCACTCGGGTACTTCTACCTACAAAGGAGAACCACCCACGAAGGAAGCTTGAGATATAAAAGGGGCAAAGCCCCATACACGAAGGGGATGGACTTCTTGAGTACTGAATCAGAGAGAGAATGTACTTGCATGTAAATTGTAAAAGTCCAAAGAGAAATACAATACACAAGTGGATGTAGCTCTTCATTAACAGAGTGAACCACTATAAATTTCGTGTGTCATCTCATTCAAGTGTTATACTCATGCTTCCAAAAATACAACAAACACTTCACAACCTAATTTTAAATATACAATTAATTTTCAACCGATAACCCAATAGGATACCAGTAGATAACTCAGCGTATTTCTGTTGACGAAATTTAACTGTCAACAATAACCATCTTGAATGTGCCTCTTTGATGTCTTGAAGCCAACATACTTCTTGTTCATGAAAAAGTCGTTCACAGCGATATTGGCGTGTTCATAACTTACGGTCTTATGTATCAAAACTTTTCCTTCAGTTTTTTTTTTTTTTGGTTTTTTATTTTAACTTTGGTTAAACATAAAATATATCACTTTACCAATATACCCTCTTATACCGGAGGACACATGATGCAAACCGTTCAAAAGGACAGAAAGGGCTTAATCGTTAGCATTTTAAAAGTTAAGGGGTTACTTTGCCAAAATTAAAAGAAGAAAGATCAAAGTGTCACGTACGGAAGGGTTAAGGATCAACAGCGCAAATTACTCTTTTAAACATATATTCGACTTCTACTGTTTTTCATTCTCTCTCTAGTCTGCGACGAGCACGGAGTTCTTCTCGGCGGCGGCGACGAGCACGAGTTCTTCTCTCCGGTTGGAAGGTTGGCGGCTGCTGCACAGGTGTGGGGCTAGGCTTTTCAATTGTTGATGATTTGGGGATATTAGTGCTAGGGTTTATCTAATTTGCGGTTTAATATGAAAAACTAGTTTTTGTGTTTTGCAGCAATTTCCACCGTTTGGTCTGTGATTGTTCATATGAAATTGGTCTGAGTTTTGGATATTAATGCCTGAGTGCTGAGAAATAACCAGGTCCTTTTCTTTTTTCCTTTTTTTTTGCCATTATATGTTTTTTGTTTTTTTTTTTTTTAAATCAATTGCAGATTATATTTGGAAATTCAATTATTAGGAGTCCAGGAACTTGATTGTCCAAATCGAAACTATCTATAGGGATCAAGTTATCATCTTTCAGAGACTAATCAGTCAATTACCTTTTAAGTTATGTCAAATAGTTAAAACCTGCGTCCACAAACTGCTTGTCAAAATGCCTTTCGTGGTTTTTGAACGTCATTTTCGATTTTGATAGGTTTCAATGATAGGAGGTTCTCGTGTCCGGCTTAACACGTGGCAGCAGGCCGCTGTTGCTGTTGGCTCGGCGGTGGGGGCATTGCTAGACCCAAGGAGAGCTGACCTTATTGCGGCTCTCGGAGAGACAACAGGAAAACCTGCTTTTGAGAGAGTTCTTGACAGAATGAAGCAGAGCCCAGAAGGCAGGGTAACCCTCTTATCCACTCCTTATGATGTATCTATATTAGTTGCTAAGCAATGGATTATCAATGTTTGAATAAGAAGGTCTACTTTTGTTACCTTACAGTTTTCTTGTTGAAACTATTATCAACGTCTTATGTGTTTATAACATGTAGAATGTGTGAACCAATAGACATGTAGATTAATGTGTTTTATGTTTATGGACTGTAGCCGCATGTCACATCGTAGTTGCTGTATTGGTGTTCATGCTGACCATGAGGGATTCAATTTAGCGGAGACTTGTTTAGGGTCCTGGTTTATTTTATGTTTATAATCATCATGTTTTGAGAATGCTCAGATCTAGTTCTTGTTACTTAGGGTTTTGATCAAGTGAAAGAAGAAAGTGAAACTTGTCATTATGGATACTCTTAGCCCCCAGTTTGGTTCGTTGGTTTAAACTTTGTTGGTTTGAACTTTTTGATTTGAACAGAAAAATTCAAACTGTGTGGTTTAAATTGTAGTTTAAATTAACATTTAGATGTGTAGTTAAAGTTTTAATTTGAACGGGGAATAAAATTCGAATTTTTGTTTGGTAGGTGTGAAAAGCAGAGAGTGTGCACTTTTTATTGTTAAAAAATGGTTTGAATGGTTGAACTTGGGGGGGGGAGCTAAACTCTAACACTCCGTTTGGTAGGAGGAAAAGAAAAGAGAATGGAAAGAAAACACATAAAAGAAAGAAAATGTGAAGGAAAGGAATGAAGTTGATTTTCTTTTATAGTGTTTGGTATAATGAGAGGAAAGAAAACATATAATAGCCTAAATGACTATTTTATCAATTTTTTAATATTAATTTAGATTTTAAAATAGAGACACAAGAGTAAATTTAGCCATCAATGAGTGGATTTTAGTTTTCCTTCTAATGTTGGAGAGATAAAAAATAGTGGCCCCACCATAATTTTTTTTCATCATATTTTCCTTTCTCTCCTCTCTTCCTTCTTACCAAACAACCAACTCTATCATTTTCCATCCAATAATCCCTCTACTTACTTCCTTCCTTTCACTTTTCCATCATACCAAACACACTCTAAGTTGGGCTGTTTAACTCAGTTCAAACGGGGAATATAATTCAAACTGCATGCTTACCAAACGCCAGTTCAAACTATGCTCACTGTTCAAATTGAGTTGAACTGAACTAAATTAATGAAACAAACAGGGCCTTAGTTAACGAAGCCAAAACTTATCTCTCCTTGTGCGCGCACGGGCGCATGATTTCATTGCCATTATCTGTTGACTACGGTAGTCTATTCTCTCAAGATTTTGCTCTTCTTATGTTGTGTCCCTGCTCAAACTGAGACCACACTTTTCCTCTCGTTACAGGCCATACTACAGGAGCAACCACGAGTGATATCATCAAAAGTTGGACATGCATGGGACCTACCAGAGAACACATTTGGCGCTGCCTATGCAAAATTCATGGGATCAAGGAACTTTTCCCCTGATGATAGACCACCAGTGCGGTTCATGGAGACAGAAGAGCTAGCGTATGTGGCCATGCGGGCTCGCGAGGTTCACGACTTCTGGCACACCCTCTTTGACCTCCCCACAAACTTGATTGGTGAGTCGGCCCTCAAAGTAATAGAGTTTGAGCAAATGTATCTTCCCATGTGTCTGCTATCTGTAGTCGGGGGTACTGCTAGATTCAGTGAGAAGCAAAGGAAATTGTTCTTCCAACACTACTTCCCTTGGGCCATCCGGGCTGGTGCACATTGCACTGATCTTATGTGTGTATATTATGAGCGGCACTTTCACGAGGACTTGGAGGATGTGCGCAGAAAATGGGGTATTATTCCTGCTCCTGCTGCTTCTAAACAAACGTGACCAGAAAATGGTATAGTTTTGAGTTTGGTCTCATAATCACCAGCATTTGTTTGAATAACGTTCCTTGCACTGAGAAATGTAACTTTCTTCTCTAGACAAGGACAACCCTCTTCTATACAACATGTATAACAGAACGTTTCTTTGTAAGTGATGCATGTGCCAAATTTAAATGTAATTCAGTTTTTCTTCTCATTGTCCGTCACTACACTACAGCAATCTCGAACTGCTCCTAATTTCGTCTTGATATGTATGTTTTATATGCGCGCGCGCACACATATATATATCTTGATGGCAGCTATCAAGCTCAGTCTCAAGATATTGCGTCTGGAGAGGTGGATAGATAGGACTACTAGTTGCTCAATCAGGACCCAAGCTTTATTCCGAGCCAGAATATGAGGAAGCCACTGGGCTAGACTGCGGATGTGTAAATATGTTCAGAAAATCACATGCAAAATACACGTTCGGGGTTCTTACCAATGCCAATTCTAATCGCATGCTTGTTTCACCTTTTTCTCAGTAAACCAACTGATAATTAGGTGATGCTTCAAGTAAAAGACATTTGCACTTAGGAGCATGTCCTCGTGATTATCAAGGCAAACAGTTACTTGGTTTTTTTCTTGCGCAGAAGTAACTTGATTGATTTTTTTCCCCTTCGCCTTTTGAGTTTGCTTCCCCAAGCAAGTGATAGCTAGCACATAAGACGAAGAGAGCATCATTTAATTAAGTCGCCGATAGCAACTTTATTTGATTCAACAACAGTACTTTGACATTGATGGATGAACCATTCTAAGCTGTAACAACGTCCATTTTTTCTACGACTTTCTTTTATCTTTACTATGGAGAAGAATAGAAGATCGTACCAACAAAGCATAAGCGAATAACTGTGACCCTGCCCCTATTAAAAAGCACATCCTAACTGGAAAAAATTATCACTACCAACCAAGCAGCAAGGGTAGAAACAAACAAAGATGAACGAGAGCAAAGAAAAATTGCATTGGGCAGAGTTTCCCTACTGCCAAACAAAACATACGAAACAGATTGTGAACAACGACTATGCACTAGGAAATGTCACTTTGTCCACACCAAATGCTGTGTAGCAAATGTCTTAAGCATCTAAAGAAGAGTGCTCTTTGATTGAACAATCCCAACAACCATCACAACTATATATTACATTGCAAGTCCAGATATTATCTGATTATACGAAAACGACCCTTCATCTAAAGTAGATAATTCCACAAAAATCAATGAACACTTCAGTTACGACGAGGGCATATCTCAGTTACCACCACCACCTGGTCCACCAAAGAGGTAATCCAGAGAAGATCCACCACCAGGAGCAGCGTGGACCTTAGTTGAGGGCCGATCCTGCACCCAGGAAAGAGAAAAAAAAAAAAAAAAAAAATGAATATGCATCTCACACCTAACTGGAATCATATAAGTGAAACATGCGCTAAACAATCTATACAACGCGGTCTACATTTTCATTTTTCTTCAGATTCAAGGTTGAGTAAAGTTGGTAAAAATCTGTGGGCAGGATTCCTTGTGGGGTTGTTCTCTCGTAGCAAAGCATAATTTTACCTGTCCAAAGACTCCCGGTGCTTTCATTCAAAAACAAAATCCACACTACCCATATAAATGATTCTGCTCCATAATTTTAGTTCAAAAAGAAAAAACCTTAAGCACTTCAAAAGAGTAAGAGTCCATATGTATACTGCATCAGGGAAATAGAAGCAATAAATGGGAAAATCATACCGTGATGAAGTTGCCAGTGTTCTGACCATCCGCTCGCATGTAGTTGTTGGTAGAAGTACTGTTGATACCAGCAGGAATCTGCTTGCTAACATCTACCGGCTGAGGAGGAGCCGCAGTAGGTTTGGAGGCAGGCACATCATTCACAGCCCGCACTTCATTTGTAGGAGCAGCAGCTTTGTTTGTGGCTGGCTTGGGAGCCTCTCCACTGCCAAAAAGATAACCCAATGAACTTTGGCCCCCGCCACTGCTATTTCCACGACCCATGTTCTCTTAGTTCTCTAAGATGAGTATCTCCAAATTCTGCTTGCAATAGATGGAAAAGGTAACAAATGGTTCAATCTCAAATGAATTTCACAACGGAGAACTATATTGAAAGCTATACTGTCTATTTCTTAAGCATGGCTCAAACAAGTATCATGAATAATCTAACATTCGAGAAGCATTATCACAAAACCTTGTCACAATTAGGCCCAAAGCATTTGTTACTAAATTTTAGATACTTCCTTGCTATAGTCAATCTGCTTTATGATAAGATTACCCCACATACAATAGATCTTAAAAGCTCCCACATCAACTCGATTTGTATATTTCATCACACCTACTTGAAAATTTCTGGCCTTGCGTTGGTATCAAACAACTCTAACCGTGGGACTCATCATGAAGTTTAAGGTTCATAGGACACTTGGTAGGCCAACCAACTAACTCTCTAAAAAACCTTGAAAGTTATTTCACGCTAAAATCATGAATAGGGCAGTTTCTTAGTAGCTTTATGTCAAATCCAAAACGTTATTTCGCTAATAATAAAAAGTTTTGAGGTCATCAGAGCAACAAACTACACCAGAGACTCCATAGCTAATTCCCATTAAGAAAAACTCAAGATTTTTCCTAGCCTTTTATCAGGATCTAGTAATCCCCAAACTGACCGACTGATAATTCATTGAACAGATAAGATCTTAAAGTCTAAGATCACAAGAAATTCGAACCAATTCAAAGAATACTACTAGATAAAAGAAAAATCCTTCCGAGTCTACTAAAGGAAAAAAAAAAAACCCGAGAAATCGCAAATCAAGACAAGAGAAACGTCTCAATCGCAAAATTGCTCAGCCAAAACAACGAATAGATCTAACAAAACAGAATGCGTGTGATGATATCATCGGATGCTTCCAGAAAACATCAAAATGTCCATCCAAAAACAGTGACAATGAAATGGAAAGAACAGAAGAAATTGACAACATAACCTCGTGATTGAACCCTAAATCCGCCAAGAAATGATAAGATCTAGGGTTAGGGCATCGCAAGAATACCTGGTTGTTGGGATCAGATCTGAAGCGAAGCTCCGAAGCAGAGAGAGTAACTGCAGCTACAGTGAGGAGAGAGAGAGGGGAAGAGTGAGAGGGAGGGAGAGGGACATATAATAGTGCTCCAAAGTGTAATCTACGCGTTATGATATAAAGCGATTTTATTCTTTTTTAAATCTAACTTTTATTTCTAAGCTCTTTTTACTTCTTTTCAACTATTTATTTTTTAGGATATTTTTTTTACATTAGATTTGTATATTTTTTAATTTTTTATGTGATTTTATATAAATTAACGGACATAAAATATAACTTACTAGTATATTAATATACGGAGAACGGTCCCAAATTTAAAATTTTCTCCTTAAACTTTAGTGAAATATTGTCTAGGACTTATGGAACTTTATTTTTTTATCATTATTTTTTTTTTGTATTTTAGTTTAATTAGGTTTTGCTCTTCCAGATATTGGCCGGCCATAGTAGTTTTTCTGACTATTTATTTGACATAAAGGGCAGATTTGCTAAAGTTAAGAGGTTTAGGGGAGCGAATATAGTTATTTAAATTTAGAAAATGAAATGAAATATGACCTAAATTCCGGAATAATTTTTTTCGAACGGATTATTATTTTCAATATGCCATTCAAATTACGAAAAACAAAATGATGCACATGCACTTGAATTTCATAATTTCTATAAAAAAAAAAATGAAAAAACACGTGAGCACGTAAATTTTAATTGAACTTTAATCGTCTCATTATATCACTTAAACTTTAAAATTATGACAAAAACAGAAATGTTCATGTGAAGGATAAATTAAAAAAATGAAACTTTAATCACTATCTCATGCTTTAAACGTTAAATCATCATTCTAAACAAATGTTTGATCATCATCTATTTATGCCCTCATCCTTTAATCATTGTCTAATTATATCAATAAAATTTTGAAAACTAGCCCGTTTAGTTTATGAATTAGAACCATGTGATTATAATTATTTTCGATTTACGTGTATTTTTTATGAGAGAAAATACTGTAACGAACCACGAATCATGATTCGAATCAGGGAACGAATCCCTTTACCAAACGGGCTCTAAATACACTCACCTTAAGTGAAAATGGAGAAGAAATACATAGACATGTTTAGTTCGCTGATTCGAATTTTTAATTTGAGTTGAAATGTGATTTTATGTGAGAGTTTTTTACTGTAGTAAAAAAGTTAAATGTGACTATTTCTAAGAGCTTTTTACTGTAGTAAAACTCGAATAAGTGAAATGAACGAGGCCTAAAGAACAAGCACAATAGTTTGACAATTGTTTTTCACTTATTTGCTCCTCAAAATTAATTTCTGTGAAATGGTCTTTTTTATTCAATAACTAGCTTGAGATAAATAAAAAGTCCTTTTACTACAACAGTTCAAAGTTGAAGGAAAAAAATAGACAAAATCCCTTTAAAAATGCATATTAGAATTTTTACTTTTTATTTTTGATTTATAATCTTTTTAATCAAATAATTATATTAATAAAAATATATTAATTAAAAATAAAAGATAAAAATCTAAATTCATGTACTTTTAAGAGTAAATTCTGTAATTTTCTAAAATTTATTTAAGGGTTTAATATATCATGGTATATTTTTTGTGGGCATCATTGATGTGAAACCCACTTTAGGTTTTGTGTGTGTGTGTGTGTGTGTGTGTGTGATATTTTCATGATTATATTGGTCCAAAACTTTAACTCAACAAAAATAGAGCGGTGGATCACGTGAAAATATGACCTGGCATCCACGAATAAAGAACTCACCAATTATTGATTTTTTGCCCCTTAGGGCCTGTTTGGACCATCAGAAGTTGGGAAGTACATGCATATGCCAATATGTTTTTCTTTGAATATTAGATTTTTGGCTTGGAGTTATTTTTGTTTTTATTTTTTATATTTTTTTGAGAAAAAAATGAAAAAGGGAGAGAAACAGCGTTTGGTATAATTAAAGATAAAAAATAAAAATGAAAATGATTTTTTTAGTTTAGTGTAAAATAAAAGAGAAATGAAAAATGATTTTTTAGTCGTTTTTATTTTTTATTTTAATTTTCTCCTCTCTCGAGTAGAGAGAGAAAGAGACATTAATGAAATTTTTTATACTGAAAATAATCTCTTAAAAAAATTACTAAACGCATTTTTAAAAATAATTTCTATCTAAAATTAAAAACATTTTTATTTTTATTTTCATATAAAAAATAAAATTATTTTAGAATGAGTTTCAAACACACATTTTGTTTTTGGCTTTTCATGATTTTGGGAATGTCAAGTTCAATACGCATATGCCAAACGGTTCGATTTAATTTGAGAACAGTCCAACAAAGCTTTCTTTGTGCAATATCGCTTACCCCATAAACTTTCTTTATTTTATATATTATCTATATATGTGTGTGTATATATATGTGTAGCGGCGGGTGTTGTACCTCTTTGCCAACCGCCATTTGTAGGCCATGCATAAATCATTGTAAATTGTATAATTTCCAAAATGGTCATGAATTTGAACTGTATTATTCCTTTTTTTTTTCCTTAAGTAAATTTCCATTTATATGTCAACAGCAAAAAGAAAGTATCATTCCCATTTATATCTTGAAATTATTTTTTAACTGAATTAGAGGGTTAAAATTGTTTGACAATTAGCTTACTAAGAGTGTATTTGGTATGACAGAAAAGTGGAAGGAAAGAAATAGATAGAGGGATTATTGGATGAAAAATGGTAGAGTTAATTGTTTGGTAAGAAGAAAGAGACGAGAGAAAGAAAAATAGGATGAAAAAAAATTATGATGGAGTCACTGTTTTTTATTTCTCTAACATTGGAAGGAAAACTCAAATCCATTCAATGTTTATTTCTTGTATTCGTTCATGATTCTGAATCATGATTCATGGTTCCTTGCAGTGTTTTTCTCTCCTAAAAAATACACGTAAAACGAGAATAGTTCTAAATCATGATTCTGAATACATGAACCAAACGTGGGTCCGTTCATTTCGCTGATTCGAGTTTGTAATTCGAGTTGAGATGTGATTTTATGTGAGAGCTTTTTACTGTAGCAAAAAAGTTAGATGTGACTGTTTCTGAGAACTTTTTACTGTAGCAAAACTCAAATTCTAAACTCGAATCGGTGAAGTGAACGGAGCCTGTATTCAGAATCATGATTCAAAACTATTCTCGTTTTACGTGTATTTTTTATGAGAGAAAAATACTGTAGAGAACTATAAATCATGATTCATTTACTTTTGTGTTTTTATTTTAAAATCTAAATTAATATTAAACAATTGATAAAATGGTCATTTAAATTATTACATATTTTCTTTCTTCTCATTATACCAAACACTATAAAAAAATCAACTTCATTCATTTTCTTTACATTTTTTTCTTTTATGTGTTTTCTTTTCATTTTCTTTTATTTTCCTCCTACCAAACGGAGTGTAAATTGGAATTTTCTCCTGCTCTTCAACTCCAAATTTTTCTAATTGTAACGCAAACAGATGGTTGTCTAATTGTTTTAGATTTGTTTTGCATATATATATATATATATCTTAAATATATATATATCTTTAAAAAAATGCTTTGAAATGTACCGATTAAGAATTGCATGTTGTTTTTCTTAGACAGAATAAACGGCATCGAGAAAAAGGAGGTCATGTTTTTTTTTTTTTTTTGAAAAACGATGCGATAAACGAATTGTTGCTTTGTTGTCGCGGAAAAACTTTCCACACCTCGAATTTCCTTTAGATGAAAAATATTTGAAAACTGTGGCTCGCAGGACGACATAATAAACAACTTGTCGTCGATATTGAAGAAAACACCATATGTTAAAATGACCTTTAAAAAAAAAAAATAGCAATGAACTTCTTACGTAAAATAAACGACATAGAAAAGAATTTCTTCCATAAAAATAAACGACATCAAAAAAGATATGTCGTTTATCTGTAAAATGTCATCTCACGTTAACGAGAAACAAGTTTGGTAGGGCATGAGAAACGACATGCTGTTGATATTTATAAAAAAGGGTCGGTAGAAATGAGTCTACATGGCTGTCTAACTTAATGAATTTTGTATAAAATTGTTGAACCAGTTTACCCTTTCTCGAACACAATCTATTGATTATGCCAACGGAATTCCAGACCTGACAGCTTTAAAAGTGAGTTTTCTTGTCCACTTTTATTGATTTGGTATATGATTCGTACCTTTTATTTCACATCTTTGGAGTTTGCTAATAATTGTTATTGTTGGATAAGTTTGAACCTAACTACGAACGTTAATTCCTGCTAAAGTGTCATTCGAAAACGATCGTGGTAGGTTTTCTCCACCCCTTGTACACGAGTGAATTTCGTTTCAAAATAATCAATTTGGTCTCTACGCAATTAACTCTGTGGTGTAGCGAGAATTAATTTTGCGTGGCATAAGATTTGCTGCTTGTCTAAGCTTGTCCTTTTCAAAGGACACAGAAACTGCAATTCATGATCTTTCTTCATCCATTTTGAATTTGGCTAAGGTACGCAAAGGAGTTTGAGAATCGTGTCAATTTTTTCTTTTTTTAATATAAATGTTTTCAAATATTTTCTTTCTTCATTCAGTCTAGAATAATGATGGAGTTGAACAATATGCTCTCAGGATATCTGCTGAGCCTTCAGTGATCTGTTTGCTTCATAGATCCAACATCCTAAAACTTATACTTCCTGTTCATGTAAGTTTTTGTTTTGTTGATTTCCGGTATTAATGGATAGGTTTTTTACGCATTAAATTTGTAGCTGAGTGCTATTTGGATTACAGGCAGCATATCTTGGGCAACATAGCACAAAATCTGATCAGAATTCTTTAATGTTGATGGTAAGTACAACCAAAGAAAGATTGTTGAGGGAAGTTATGAAAATGTGATAATTAATGGATAAGTAATATCTTTATAAACGTGTTAATTAATTATTGTTATTATATGTGGATTTGGTTTGATCAATTGCTTCACAAGAAGCTTGAAAATAGCTTACTCTTGAGTTGGATTAGAAGTAGTAATAGCAAAATAATCTGAGATTTTCATGAATTTCAAGGATTGAATTAGCTTGGGAATTTATTAATCTCTCTGTCACTTTATTTACAAGTTACAACTCAATTTC